CCGCAAAAAAAAAAAATTCACGTGTGCGCGGAAAATTACTTGTCCCAGAGGGTTGTGAGTTATGTCATGAAAAAAATATGAATGAACATCATTGAATTCCTAAGACAACTACTTCACCTTTTTTTTTTTATTCAATTTATAGTTTCCTCAGAAAAAGTTTAAATAGATGATAACTTTTAGCCTTGTTCGATTTTCAAAACTTTGTATAAAAAGAAGCAACATTTCAATAAGATTGCAACGTAGTTGTCTGCGCATTTTCACAAGTTTTCCAAAGATATATCCAAAATTTTAATTGGATAAAAACTCTGGGGCAAGGAATCTTCTGTAGCTGGAAAATATAAAGATTGAAAAACAAACAAAAAGTTGGATATTTGAAGTTCATTTTTTATATTTTTTCATTTATGGATCTTTACCATTTCATTACTGTAGAAACTACTATTATTTCTCTTTCAAACGCAGTTTGTTAGGTAAAGATATGATCATTAGTCTCCGAATTATAGAAACAAACAAACAATTGACCCATGAAAAGGGGCAAATCCAGACCCAAGACAATATGACCATTACATAAAATCAGTTGTTTCATGTTTAATACCTCTTTTATTACTGTTTTCCTGTATATACATTGATTTACATGTCTATATGCAAATTATTGAAAAGGTACATGTTCGTGCACGTGTATATGTGTATATGCGCATATACCCATTTGATCCATAATTATTTATTTCATTTATTCATTTTATTTTTATTCCAGTCTACTCTTCTCCCGCATCATCTGACCACGTAATTCCGCCTCGAAACAAGTGATAAATGTTTATTCATGAGCGGAGTACCTGTTATGGAGGAACAATTAATTGTTTCTTGTTCCTTAGAAATAACCATTCAGAAAAGGTTGATAGATCAAAAATATTTTGATATACAAATCCCTTATATTCATTTATTGTGGACGCTTCATCTTGTGATGTAACAATAGGTATCAGATATTTGTAGGCCGATTTTAGGAGTTTACACAAATGAATTATATCATATTCTTTCTTTACATTTCTTTTTTTTTCGTAAAATGGATTTATAATGACATAATGATGTTTAGTCGATTGATTATTTTCAAATGAAAGCGCATACGTAAAATCATGGCAGTCAGAAAAGTCTAAAGTGGTGGCAACGCTTGGAATTTTTATGGCTGGGTCCCTCTGAGATGACCTTGAGCAGCCAGCCCATGTAAATATCTATTCGTTGTGAATTTATTTTTGGAGATACACACTTGTAACTGCTCATGTATTATCATCAAACCCTAAACATACTTGTATGATGAATATGTCAAAATCGAATCATATCTACTTTAGTTTATGGAAATGAGAATTGAAAAGCTGTGTAAGGATTTTTTAGTTTTCTTAGTTTTTCACATCATAAATCTTTCACTTTTGAATAAAACTGATATAATAAGACACTTTTATCTTCCTGTGATCCATTTCAATAGGTAATGTTATTATACAAAGCATCATTTTCACTCTTGTAAAGCGAGAGTGTGGAAAAGTGAAAAGCACTGACACAATGGCAATGAGACTCGGGGTTCTGGCCTTGCGCGCTGCCCAAATTTTTTGTTGCGGGAGTTATATTGACATGGGTAATTCTACTCTCATTTACGAATATGAAATTGACCATAACTCATTTTTGACCACTCCGACCCAAAATCCCCAACTTGTCTCCCCCACCGCCAGAGACGGTCCCTTTAAGCAGATCACGATAATTTTGCACAATAGTTTCGCATAACAGATTACAGTGATTTTGTTATGGATGAATTTCTCTCACTCTCTGCTGTCCAAATATATAGAAATTATGGTATATTTACAGCAGATAACAATCAGGATTTGAGTGAAAATGTATGGAATGATGTTAATTGAGACAGTTTTCATCTAGGGCAAAAGGAGCGCAAATAGAAAATAAAGGAGATACGGGATGAGATATAGCACATAAAAAAACTCAGTATTTTAAAAACCTCCAACTGCTATCTGTTTCAATGTAAACAGACCATGCAGCTCATAAGCTGTCACACAGGAAAGTAGTACGCGTGCTACTCTGTATTGGTTAAAAAACATTTTAGTGTAATTTCATGCATATTTTTCATGCATTGTTTATAACTAATATGAAGTACTAGTATATTTCATTAATCAAACAAATTTGTCTGTTATCTAATCACATTTTACTATTGTAATAATTTTCTGTGATATCACTGTATGGTGCATCGATACGCTTCACCAGTAGGCCTGTTGCTGTAGCGGCTAGGAAAGCATGGCGATCGGCTAGAGAAGCATGTCTATCGTCTAGGGAAGCATGATGATAAGCTAGGGAAGCATGGCGATGGCATAGGGAAGCATGGTGATCAGAAAGGGTTAGGAATGTTTTTGGGTTTTATGGCTCCCAGCTAGGGAAGCGTGGCAGTATTTGTTACAAAGAGCAACGCACCCTCCCAGAGACCAAGTCGAAAAAATATGTTTTTCTGCAG